TATCTTCTTCAAACTCTTGTATAACCCCAAATCCACATCAGATGCATCAATGTAAAAAATAAATGGAAAACTGAAATCTGACCTTCTTAAGACAACTTTAACAATTGAAAGGCTTTTTTCACAGTTAGGAGTCTTAACAAATTTTGTTAGGCTCACTTTTTTTTTTTATTAAGTCAATCTTTCCTGACCTCATCTTTTACCCTAGTCCTGTTGTCTGCAGTATGCGTGTGTGTGTGTCTGTGTATACCTAGACACACATATACATACTTCTTTATGAAAGTATTTTTTATATTTTGATCAATAAAGTACTTTGGTTTACTTCTGAATAATTATGCTGTTCATACAGGTTTTTTTGCTATACTTCTGTAATGCACTTTCTAACTGAACCGACAGCTTTTTCTTCCTCTTTCTTTTTCTCTTTCTTTCTTTCTTTCTTTCTTTCTTTCTTTCTTTCTTTCTTTCTTTCTTTCTTTCTTTCTTTCTTTCTCTATCTATCTATCTATCTATCTATCTATCTATCTATCTATCTATCTATCTATCTACACACACACTCAGGGTCTTTTTGAAATCACAAATGCAAATGGGGTAACTGTCTTTTTAGTTATGTTCTGAATGGTGCTTACAGATTAATACACACACACACACACATTTTTAATTTTAAAATGAGTATTACCCTTGGCTTTGAGATGAGACAGAATATTAGAACAACATAAATTGAGATATTTAATTAACAAGTTCTTATACATTAAAATGTATTAAGAAACCCTGTTCTTCATGGTTCTGATGTTAGCCCTAAGAATCTAAGACAATTTTTGGTAAATTCAATGGGGAACAAACTTTCAGATCAAGTCATCAGCGTTCAGTATAATACATGGTGTAAATTCTTTCTTTAGCCCATCTTCCTACAAAATGCAAAGGCTCTTTTGGGTGTGCATATAGTTGTATTTCTTTTGGAAAGTGGGAATATCAAAAATGGGGCCAGTTTCTATGAGAATGTATGTGACATACATTATCAAATGCATCCCTTTTGTTTTGTGAACTACTGTTCAGCTGACCTTTCTGCTACTGTTCCACATTTCCGCATAATCCTTCTGGTCATTGCTGGCATTGACCTGGCTGTTCTTTACCTTGGCAACAGCAGAGTTTCTGAGGGCAGACAGGCTACTGTCAGAGGTTCACCATAGAAACAGCCTACCTAGAGGGAATACTAACAACATTTCATCATGTCCCTAAAGATGGGAATTCCCAGATGGATGAGGAAATCAAACAAAGGGAAGTTAAATTATAGCCCAGCTTGAAGCAAATGCTGTTGTAAATCCCATGAGAAATAAGTTTGCAGTAGGAGCAACAGGTACTGTTTCTGGAGACTGTATTGTTACAGGCTCCCTGCTTTTCCTCAGCCATGAGAAATTCATTAAGCAAGGCTGAGAGTGACTAGGGGATATAGGGACTGCCTGTACGATATTAGCTTTCATTGCAAATACAACGATAATTATTGGAAACTAGTGTTTCCTTAAAAACACACCTGAAGAAGTTTCCTACAGTTTGTATTAAGCAGTTTGTATGAAACTCTGCACTCTTCCAATTTGCTTTTTCTTTTCCTTCAATTATGCTGATTAGATGGAATCAGGCCTTATCCACTGTTAGGTTTACATGTACATAAATCCCACAAACCTGGATATGTTTCAGGCCAAGAGGAAATTGCCATATTAAGAATAGGGTTGTCTATTCCAAAGCAAGTTTCAGTGAGTCCATCGCCATTTCCTCACTAATGAATGAAAGGGCAACCTATCTTTCCTTGTGTCAGCACAAAACAGTGTTAGCACAATACAGTATTTGTTGTCACCATGACCAATCCCTATCCTGCCTCAGTTCTGTCTGCTGCAAGTCCCTACCAAATGGAGTTGTCCTGATCTGTCGCCTCTTATGGGCAAAGTGACTGAGTGGTTTCCTTCTCTTGCTTTGTGGAAATCTCTGGTCAGCATATCTCTAACGTCAGAAACACTCACCAATTGGAAAACTGCAGGACAAACGAAGAGGGTCTGATATTACCAGGACTCTCTCTGGGCTTCTCTAGGCTAACTGGGCTCTCTGCCCTTCCCTCCACATTTCATTTCAGTACCTCACAAGTTCAAAATAATGTGAAATAAATATATGGGAAGGAATCGCACTAGAGAGAAGTGAGGCAGAACCTGCCATGATTGTGCAAGTAGCAAGGCGGGATAACTGAAACTGCTGAGCCATCATGTCTCTTGCCTCACAAGGTGTGGGTGGCTGTGGGGGACGTGATAGGAAACTGGTAAATACGCATCAAAAGCTCAATTCCACATCTCTCATTATTCTCAAGACAGGGCAATGAGCAAAGGGAGAGTGCGGTATTTATAGGTAAGGACCCTGCAGATACCATTTCAGAATTATGTTAATACAAAGTTATACAAATACACCACTTTTCTTCCCCAAATAGTGGATATCTGTTTCCTTGTTGGGATCATAGAGGTGGAAGGGCCATTTAAGCTATCAAGCAATGCAAGAATCCAGATTAAAATATCTGAGACATGTGCCTCCATTTGAACACATCCAATGAACCTGAGCCCACTACCTCTCTGGATAGGTAATTCCATTCTCAAACTGCTCTTAAGAAGTTTTTTTCTAGCATTCAATCAAAATCTGATTTCATATAACTTAAACCTATTGTTCTGGGTCCTGTACTCTTGCACAAGAGAGAATAGGTCTTGATCTTATGTATAACATTATTCCAGGAATATGAAATGTTATTTTTATATAGTACATATAGTATGTGTATGTGTGTATACCTAGTCATCTTTTCTCATGGTTAAATGTACATGGGTATACACTACTCAATAATGTAGAATAATTAATCCCCATGATTTGGAAATTATACTTCTGTTGATGCAGCCTAAAATTACATTTCCCTTCTTTTCAGCCACACCACACTGGTGGCCCATATTCATTTGCAATTAACCTACTATTCCTAATAGTACTATTTTTGCAAGTATTATTACCAAGCGAGGTATTCTCCATACTATATGGGGAGGGGGGGAGAAGTATTTGAAGAACTTTGTACTTTCCTCTGTTTAATTGCATTGTTAATTTCAACCTATTTCTTCAGCCTCTCAAGATCATTTTGACTTTTATCTTCTAAAGTATTATCACACCCAGTTTATGGATCATTAGCAAATTTGATAAGCTTTGTTTCAACTTATATTTCCAAATCTTTAATGGACATATTGAAGAGCAGAGAACCCAAGGCTAAACCTTGTGATACTCCACTTGATGCCTCTTTCCTGCTGATGAGCAAACATTAATACACATTTTGCATATGTCAGGGGAAAGGGTGGGGTACAAAGACCTGAAAGATCTTTCAATTCTGACCAAAGAAGAAAAAGAAATCCACTCCACCCCCCAATCTCAAAGATTCCAGGCGGGAAGGGAGGGTTAGAGAATTTTGGAGATGGGAAGACTTTGTCAGCTCCATTCAATGAAGAAATGGAAATGGAAGGAGGGACGTAATGCCCTTTAGTCTCCCACAACTGGAGAGAAGGAGAGGAAGGAGTAAACCATGAGTTGCTATAAGGGTTGAAGCTGGCAAGGTGGGAAGTTATGGATTCTCAAGCCAGACAGAATTGTTATGTAAACATGAAAGAGATGAAGTGATGTCCCCAATGCTTCAGGCTGGGAAAAATCCACTGGTGGAAAAGGCCTAGGATTCATGTATCACCTGTATACTGGGTTTGATTCCTGTGTTCTGCAATAGATATAGCTTCTTTATTCTCTGCAATAAAATAACTTATCTATGTTGAGTCCTTGAAATTTCTGCTGTTAGCTAGCTACAGAATATAGAGTTAATGGAGTGGGGACGGGCCCTTTTTTTTTCTAGCAGAAACAAGAGTTTAGTGGCATTCCAAGACAAATCTATTGTCGCATAAGCTTCTGTTGATCAGCACTTAACCACAACAAAAGTGTGGCAATGTCTTCTTTTTTTTTTTTTTGCCGTGAACCCACAATACTGCTATCATCTCTGTCCCATGAGTTAGGATTAAATCATCCTTAACTGCACAATGTTATGGTATTTTCCTTCTTACTGTTCAAGGACAGCCTCAAGGTAGATACAATCTGTTAGGCTTTATATCTTATCCTCTTACAGAGAATTCAGGTGACTGTAATGACTTGAAACAAAGGCAATAAAGTCAGGATAGGGATTGGCATATTTCATGCTGTACAGTTTTCTGCGAATTCAGGACTGAGGGAGATCACTGTAAGTGAGCAGTGGGGCAAGGCCCTCAACTTAACAATCAATGTGCATTTGCTCAGGAAAAAGCCCCATTCAATTCAATCGCTATTCGTTCTGCCCACAGTTTCCCAGGGTTGCTCTTGTCAACGCTCAGCGACGGTCCAGCTCCCCACAGTTCAACTTTTCACCCAGGGTCCAAGCGAGGGGTGCGCGGATGCAGAACCGTTAACAACTTTTGAGGGAAACGCGGCACAAAACAGTCGATGCTGAGCCGCGGAGAGCGGCGCCGACGTGAGAGGAGGATTGTAAGCACCAACCTCTCTACCGTATTCTGCTGCATCTTCTCGTGCCTCCAGCCCGAGCATAAGCCATTAAATGGCATTTCTGCCGCGAAAAGCCTGGGGAAGCGAGGAACATCCTGGTTTGAGCGGCGGCAGCAGAAGTTTGTTAGCCGCGGGCGGCCGCGGAGAAGGGCAGGCGTGGGATGAGCGCGAAGGACGCAGCCCTCCCACTGCACCAACCTGCAGGCTGGTGGAAGCCGTGGAATGGGAGGGGGCGCGCGCCCCTCGCTCCCCGTGGTCCCCCCGCCGCCGCGTGCGTTCCTCCCACCCTCCGTCCCTCCTTTGGTCCCTCCCTCCTTTCTTTCCTGCGCGCACGAGAATGTGTGCGGCCGCTCTCAATTTTCCCCTCGGTCGCCCCAGCTTCTGCCAGCAGCCAGTGCCGCAAAGAGCCGGTTGGGGCTGCGCTCGCAGCGAGCTGCAGCTCGGCGGGGGCCGGAGGCTGCTGCCCCCGCCACGGCTCCCTCCACCTCGTCTTCCCCACCGGGCACTTGGTGCGCCGTTTCCCTTGAGCCTGTCTCTCGCTTGCGTCTGAAGGGAGTCCCCCACGCTTCTTCCACGGCGCTTTGTTCCTAACCCAACCCCGCGCTCGCCGCCTTGCTCGCGGCTCTCTACCCGGTGTCTTCTTGGTTCCGCCCGGACTTTGCCTTGTCATGTCAAGATGGAAGGCAGGAGCGACTGGCTCGCCTCCGCGACCCGCCCTGAGGGCTTCGAGCAGATGAAGCTGAAGAACAGACCCCGGGAGCCCTCGCCTAGCCTGACCAAAGTGGGCTCCAACTTCTACAGCTCCGTCAAGCAGCAGGACTACAGTGCCAGCGTCTGGTTGAGAAGGAAAGACAAATTGGAGCATGTAAGCCACTTTTATTGCTCTCTCCTGAAGCGCTTGACTGCCTGCCGTTCCTCTAATCCTTCTTTCAACAAGCCTGCCAGGCAGGTTAATCGACCCATTTTACAGGTGTGAAACCTGAGCTGGAGCGGAAACGTCTTGACCACTTGCAGTGTTTTGGGCTGAGTGAGAATTTGCACCCAGGACTCATGAAGTCACCAGGAGTCGAGCTCGACTCGGAGGAGACTTTAGCTTTACTTCGGTATGGGCACAAGTCCAACTTGATATCAACACTGCCTCTCAAAATAGGTTGTCCCTACCTAATCCTACCTCCCAAGAATACCTAAAGTGGAGTAAAAACATGCTATCTGGGGACAGCATTTAAACTACAATCCCATGTATATTGATTTGGGAGTATGTCCCTTTGTACATGGTGGGGCTTACTTCTGAATAAAGATACATAGGATTTCATGTGATAGAATCTGCTTAGCCCAATATTTTGGTGTCCAGATAGTTAGGTCATTGTTCAGATCTAACAGCAGAACTGCAAATGGGTTTTCTGTTTTCAGCGTTATATGCTTTATCTCTTTTTCTTGGCCACTGTGCTGCAAACCAGTTTTCACATCCATGTCCCATGAAGGTATACAGATGGTGCACTTTCATCTGGTCGCTGAGCAGTTACGGACACTCTGGAATCTTGCAGAATTCTTCTCCAGCTGAATGCATGTTTGCTTTGCATCTTTTATTTTTTATTTGGAAATATAGACGTGCTGTATTCTAGACATACTTTTTCTTAACATTTCTTACATGGCTATGGAAGGTCATGCAAACTAGATTTCATTGCACTGTCAATTTCTGCAGGAATAATACATGTTAACTAAGGGGTTTGGGGACCAGGAAACAACTGAAGCTGCAATGAATATGTTATGCTGGGTTTAAGGTACTTGAAAATATTCCTGTAGTTCAGAGGTTTTGGAGCAATGGACTGTCATGTTCTTGTGTAATTTATAGTATTGAGCTGTATGAATAATGGAAAAGCATATTTTAATTTTAATATTAGGGTAAATACATACTTGTAGAAAGAAAGGAAGTTTAACTCTAATGTGAAGTTTGTTGCATGTATATTAGGAAGCAAGGAAACTGTTAAGTTTTATAATGCAGCAGGCTTGGTTAAGGAGACACTATGTTTAGTTCAAAATAAGGTGAAGTAGTGGGTCCTGCAATATAATGAACAATAAAGTGCTGTTAATGCAAGTTAGTTCCTTGAAAGAAATCACTGTATGAAAATATACTGACTTTTGCATATAAATTATAGCTACAGTAATGAATCAGTGCCAAGTGATGTAATCTAAAATACAGTCAAAGGTGCAGTAACTGGAATGGTGGAAGCCTTGCATTCCTACAATATTGAATAGCACTATTTATTCAGGAAAGGATTCTGAAGAAATAAGTATTCAGTAAAATACAGGAGGTATACATGCCCAAATATGGATTGTATTTTGGATTATAATTTATATCATAACAGAATGATCAACAGTGGGAAGTGAAACTCTTGAAATATCCTGAGCGGCCTTATAGCAATTTGTATATATCTTGATTCAACAAGGGTTCTATGTAGTGGATTAAAGCAAAACTACTGACTTGGCTTCAGTAAATTCATTTTGGACAATAGAATTGTTTCTTTTTGTTTAAACATCAGTGTTTTAACTAAATGTAACATATTTACTAACCCTAACAATAAAAAAGAACTAGGTAACTGTGGCAGTGTTTGGTAAAAACACATTTGTTATATAACACTGTACGCTACGACTTTATTTTTATGAATATATTATCTTTTCTACCCTACTTCCCCCAATCCTGACAGTGGTTTGCAAATTAAGTAAAACAAAATGTAGATAAAATGTAGATTTAAGGATAAAATATAGAATTAAATGAGATGCCTAGTTTTGAACCTTGGCAAGGTGATGATTTATTAAAAAAAAGATACTGAGAGAATATTTCTAAGAATAACCCAGTGAATTAAGGTGAATACATACACATAATCTGGGGTATTAATGTGCCTCTGTGTGTGGGTGTGTGGGTGTGTTTTTATTAACAGTGTAAATAGTCTGCATAATGGTCATGGCCATTTGAGTTTAGCGATAACTCCATTTGTTTACTTATTTGGTGGAACATACTAATTCTCCATTAATTCTACATATCTGTGTTTATCGGCTGGGTAAAAAGAAATCGGGTAAGCATAGATCTAGAGGAACTATAATAGGAATTACAGGAGCAATGTAAAAACATTCCTGTAGGTTGTTTCGCAATGTGCAATACGTGTTGGGGGTTTATAACTGATGTTTTTGTGGCTATCTGACAATCTGCCAGCAGGTATGGGCAACTTAGTATCTTCCAAATATTTTGGACTATAAGTTCCACAATCCGTTGCTATTTGCCATAGTGGCTAGGTGATTAAGAACTGAAATAAAAAAAAAATTGGAGTGCATCAAGTCATCTACTCCTACTTTATATCAACTTTTTATTTTATTTTTATTTAAAACATTTATATAGGACTTCCAATGTTTAAACAGTTCAAAATGTTATAAAATAGAAATTTTAAAAATAATATGAACCAATACACACACACACAATACATATACAACCTAGTAATAAATACATTGTAATATAATGCATTTTCTAGAAGTGCATGTGAAATGTAGTAATTGATGACAGCATGAAAGGTGGTTCAGCATGAAGACTTCTTGAAAGGCTCATAGTTGAGTTTAGATTAGGCAGTCCGATTTGGAATCAAAGCCATCTCTGTATATGAATGATCCTCCTCCCTTCTGTTGGATGAAGACAGTAAAAATACAGGAACCAAGCCAAGCACATCCATCAGCTGTTGTACTCATTAAAGAGTGGTAGCAGGAAAGACAATATTAGATAAATAGAATTTCCCCACCCCATTTATAGGAGAGGGATGGTAGTCTAAGTTATTTGCAACATCAGCATTGATATTTATTCCTTGACTTAGCATTTCTGTAAAAAAATATCCTTGGAGCAAAATACACCATATATGATCATGTGGCTGAGATATTACAGTCTGGTCTCCCTCTTTTTCCAATGTGCTTTGTGGAGGGGAAAAATCCTAGAGGGATTCTGGCTACCTTATCCTTCAGTTTTAACAACCACTTACTGGCCATTCACTTGGTAATGTTAGCCATGGAACATAGGGAATTTGAAGGACTTTTTTCAAAAAATTTAATATAATTGCATTTTGCATTGAGTATCACTTTTTCCTTATGAATATTAACAAGCTAGAGGCATCCACAGGATGGGAGTCAGGCAGCATATAAATTTAATTAATTAAATAAGTAAATATGATCCTTTCATTAAAAGATGCAAGCAGCATTATGCCATTGCGATACATGCTACATCCCTTTCATATGTGCATGTGACATCACAATGCAGGTACAAAAGAGTGGACCTTACATGGCAATAGTACAATGATGCGTTCATCATTTGCTCTTCTAGTAGTTGCCTCCATAACTATCTATGACTATAGAAATAAAGACAGCCTAATGTTTGTACCATCTTTGTATAGATTTTTTTTTTTAATAGTTCTTGGGATGGAGTGAGAAGAAGTGAAGAGCTAATATAACATAATATCTATGCCATAAAACTTGTTTTCAGTGGTTGGGTTATAGCAGTGTTTTTCAACCTGGGCAACATCCAGATGGTATGGGAATCCCCCAGAATTCTCCAGCTAGCATGGTCATTGCTCAGAATTCTGGGTGTTGGAAGTCCATAAATCTGGAAGTTGCCGAGGTTGGAAAACACTGGGTTAGAATAAGATGAAGCAGAGAACAAATATAACAAATTCTGTGTCATAGAGCTAACATTCTATATCCTCCTCTTTCCATGTTCCCTCACACTGGGGCTTCTCAATTTTTTTGTGCCCCCCTCCATTTCACTGGGATTAGGGTTGGTATTAATAATTAAAATTTAAATATCAGTTGTAACAGTGACAGAGCCTTAAGGCTTTACAAATTAACAGCATTTCCTTGAAAGTAAACAAAGCAATCAAATTTAAAGTCATATTTTAATGGGAAGGATGGGCTTTTTATCCCTGAATTGCAGCCAGTACACAGACCAGCAGATACAGAGTTGTCATATTTTCAAGTTAAAACATGTTTTGATAGGTATTTTAAAATTAGTTTTGGTATTAGTCATTTTTGAGACAAAAGAAAAATAGGGGCAACTCTGATTCCAATGTTCATTAGGCATAAACTGTTTATTCAGAAATCTTCCTGATGATGGTTTATTCCTCCTCCCCTTGTGTACAATTATTTTACTCCCCAAAATCAGAAAAAGAGTACTGTAAAAAGAGATGATTCCTTTATCTGGGCTGCTGTGGGCAACAGAGATAACACTGTCTCTTGCTTTAAATCAGCTTCTCTTAGAACTTATCCACAGGTGTTTTCCTAATGATGGTAGGAAGATGCCCCATAGGTTTTGTAGATGACGTCTTTATGACGCTGCTTTCATCTAATCCCCAGCTCATACTGTATTCCCTTTCCTCCCTTGTAATTCCCTCTTCAGAATAAAGATCAAATCAGATGGTCAGAGCTTTGCATAGCAGCCATGTGCCATCTAGGCATGATTATTCTGCCTGGTAAGCAAATGCAGTGTGTTCAGCAACAATAACAGCAACAAGAAGAACAATAAGGTTTTGACTTAATATGAGACTTGGGAAACTTTGCTTTTCAGAGATGCATAATTTTGCACTGATTTAGCAAGCTTACTCTGTATGAGAAATCTCTCTACTAAATGTCTCAAGAATTTGTTGAAGCTCAGATTGTTAATTATGATACTGGAGGCAGTAGAAGCAAGGTAAAGTGGGTAAGGATACAGTCTCTCTATAGAGAATTATGCAAATTAGAATAGCTTCTGATTGGATATAGCAAAGTAATTGGATATAATTGATTGGATATAGCAGCATCTTATATATCAGTGAGATTAGGTATGGGGTGGATTCTGTG